AAATGCTTTCTTCACCTTAACATTATTTTAAAATTCCTCCTGTATTTTCTTCTAGTTCTTTAATAGTTTTATTACTTACATCTCCATCTTTGGCTTTCCAGGAGTTTATTTTAGTGGAAAGAGTAGGTGGAAATCACATTTAGCTTTGATGTCTGTGGCTAGCCAGGTGGTGACACCATGTCTTCCCTGCTAATTAGATGGTATTTTATTCTATGAGGCCGAGTAAAATTTAAACACAGATCATAACTTCTCCTATCCCATTGGGTGATGGGAAGGGCACTATTTGATCTCTTTATTAGGCTGGAGAAAAACCTGTTGAACTGCCTCTAATTAGGCTTCGGATGCAGAGTTGGCCCATGAGACATTACCCCAGCACACCTACTAGAATCTGTTCTAAGATGCCACAGAGACCAGCAAAGAGCAAAGCAATTGCTCTTCCTACTATAAATGAGTCTGAATTCTTAACCAACTGGTTTCAAGGCAAAAAAAACCCAAAACCATCAATTATTTTCTTTTTCCACATCTCATGTTTCTTCCTCCTGACAGATGTTACCCTGAGGTTCTCAGACTCCCTAGAGTGCTGTAGATGAGTTTTAAGGGTCCCCTGAACTCCTTGACACTGAATAATGCGCAGAACTGCATTATTCTCAGAAAGTATCCTTACTTGTTGACACAGTCCCCAAGTGAGGCTGCCAAAAGGCTAACACCATCCACTCCTTTTAAAGCCAGAATAAAACCCAAAAGAGATACTATATTTGTGATTAAGAGATAAGAAGTTAGTAGACTGTCCACATTATGAAATATTCCATTATTGTTGACTGTGAATGACAAAACAAAGGCCACTTTACTAGTAGGAAAAGTAAAAGCTACTTTCACTTACCATCATAGCCTCCTAACACAAGCCAGGGAAACACAGGTCCTCCAAAAGTACCCAGGCAAGGATCGTGGAGCAAACTTGTGTCATTCAGAGAGGCAGGAGCCCTATGAGTGTAGAAAATACTTCCCAGTTAGAGTATGTCTGAAGACATCAGAGATCTAAACATTTACCCAACAGTAAATGAGGTTGATTATATTCTCAGCGACATGGGCACTAAAGTCCCATGGTGACATACAGTTTAGCACTTGCTTGGGGGCTCAGAGTTACTGAGTGAGAGAGACAAATACAGCACTAAGATCGATAACACATGGCATGGGGTGCCCGGGGGTGCAACTAATACAAGGGCAACTGTCCCCCAAGAGACCTGTTCTAAGGCCAAGAGAGAAGTTGCCTGTGTGGAGGAAATACGGGTGTTCGAATAAACTACAATCATAGTGTGGGAGAAAGATGAGAATAGGCATGTGAAAGTAGAAAGTAAGAGGAGAGAGTAAGAATCTTATGTGAGAGAATGTGTGGCCATGAAGTAGGAAAGAGAGATGGTGATGAGCTTGGAAAGAGGTAAAGGACAATGAAAAGAAGAAACAATAACTATGCTAGGCAGTTTGGATTGTTACCCTGTAGGGAGTACAATTGTTTGGGGAACAAAGATTTGGGGACATTATGAGCCACTTCACAAAGATAAGGGTGGCAAAGTCAAAGAAGGTCTGCAAACAGAAAAGGGGGCAGGAGACCTTCAGGATTTGTACGACAGTTCACACAAGGGATGACCAGGCAGAGACATAACTAGGGGCGGAGGAACCAGCCTCTCAGCACAGAGCATAAGCCAAATATTGCCAGAGATTTTCAAAGATCTAGTTCTAGCCTGTAATCGAAGCAACCACGCTTCAGAATCAAGGGCTATGGGATCGGGCCCTGGAGGTCGGATCGCCTACATAGGCAACAAGGATCACTAAACAGGTCACAAGGCTGCAGTCAGAAGCTGGGCTCCTCACCACCCTACATGCACCGCACGGTGTCACCACAGTATGGCTTTGAGATTTTTACCTGGAGGTTAAAAGCCACAAGAATTACAGCAGGAGGATTAAGGGGGACCAGAAGTCAGGTTTGAGGAGCTGGTGGATGTTGGTGGTATTACATGATACAAAAGGTGTGTGAAGCAAGGAGGCCTGTGTTGGATTCTGGGTGGCCTGTGCTAGTGGCTCCTGCAGGACTTCCAAAGGGAAAAGCCCGGAAAAAGGAGATGGGTGAGGAGAGGCGAGTGCTGGAGAGGCACAAATATCACTACAAACCAAACACAGGTCCCGTCACACAGGAGAGGGGCTGCTCACACCAGTGTGTCCCTCACCCCTGGGATGAAACACAAGTTTCATGCAGATTCCTGTCACCAAAATTGTTTCTTTTCTTTTATAAAATGGAAAGCAAATAGCTTTTTTTCTCAAATTATAAAAATGAGCTATTAATTTTTGCTTTTCAAATTGCCCCTGGCTGCCCTGTCCACCTACCCTGAGAGGCTGGTTGAAGTATGTGGACAGACACCTGCCACTATGGGTAGAGTTCACGATTTTAGAAGTGACTTCCTTGCAAAATACTGAGTGGCCCAACTACCTAACGAGTCATCCCAGTTAGAGAAACAGAACTTAAGGTCACCAAACTGGACGAGGAACACTGCTCAAGCCATGCTTGAGTGGCTGTCAAAGGATACAAGGAGTAACTTTTGTTTCCAAGATGAAGAAGGGGGGGGGAGGATCATCTGGCTGGCTGAACAAGTGTCTCCACTCTGCTGACCCCGCCGGCTGAGGGCAGGCCAGAACAAGCCGCTCTTCCCACCACAGGCCGAGGCTGGAGAGCACCTCACAGGTAGGTCACCCAGCACAGCTGCTCTGGCTTATTCTCATACCTGCACCTGGCTGGAGGGCATCAGCTTGCCAAATTGAAACTGCATCCCAGTCAGGAAGGGGATGCACACATTTTAAAAACAATCCAGTAACATAATTTCAATTTACATTGGCTAGAAAAGAAAAAATGCTCTAGGCATCTATGATTCTATTATGAAACCAGCCCAGAAAAAGGTGACAGAGGCCACTACACATTTATCAGCCCAGATTCACGGTACAGGCTGAGAGGGAGTTGGTTATGTGGCCAGATGCTCCCAGGCCGGGGCCTCTGTCCTGGCTGCTTGTATACACATTTCCCTCAGAGTCACAAGCTCCCCTGCTCCTCTCCTTCTGAAGTACACCCCTTCTGCTCTCGCTCTCCTTCCTGGTTTTACTTTCTCCACCTGGACTATCGCTGTCTGTTCAGCATCTTCATCCCTCCACGGGAGTGTCGGCTTTACAGGGCCTGCTCCCTTCGCTCATCATGGGACTCTAGGACCTACAAGAATGTGTCGCTGCAGCAAATGCTCAAATACTGGGGGGAAGAACGAACGCCCCACCACATACCGTGCACAGTATAGAAAGTGTGTGTGGTAATCCGCATACACAAAGAAGTCGTCCCCTATTTTGTGGTCCAGGATGGCGTGGCTGTTCTGGAAGTAATTTAACACGCTCATAATGGTGCAGTTATTATTATATGGTGAGAGAGGAGCCAAGCAGATGTCTTGAAGCGTCACAGTGTCATTGTTATACAACGCAGTGATATTTTCGATGGCTAGCTGTAAGTCAAGAACCTGAAAGAAGATTTAGAAAATAAGTAAACCCAGGAACACATCAAAATTTCTCTTGGATTTTGACTAACTGTTGTTTCCCCAAAGGGAAACAGAAGATAAGGAATATTTGGGGAGAATTTTATGAGGAGAGGACTAAGGATTTTACAACGCCCAAGTCCCACTCAGAACAGTACAGGAGGACGCAGGCCCTGCTAGCACTCCAGAGACTTCGACAAGGGGGAGACACCAGGACAGAGTTCAGTCAAGACAGCTGATCACAGGATGTTCTCAGGAACTTATTCTCACCTTCCAGGAGAGCCACAGAAGGGGGCAATTTGCCTGGTCTTCCTGACACTGCTTTATTTCTTTGTTTTTTTTAAATATCTATTTCGATGGGATTACATCAAGTTAAAGAGCTTCTGTACAGCAAAAGAGACATTACAAAAAACAGACATCCCACTGATTGGGAAAAAATTTTCTAACACAAAACTAGCAATAAAGGATTGATTACAAAAATATAAGGAGAACTGCTGAAACTCAACAAAAATAAACAACCCCATCAAAAAATGGGCAGAAGAGCTAAAAAGACAGAAATGCAGATGGCCAACAAGCATATGAAAAAATATTCAACATCACTTATAATAAGGGAAATGCAAATTAAAACCACAATGAGATACCACCTCACCCCAGTGAGAATGGCACATCTTCAAACAACTAGCAACAACAAATATTGGCGAGGATGTGGAGAAAAGGGAACTCTCCTACACTGCTGGTGGGAAGGCAAACTAGTACAACCACTATGGAAAACTGTTTGGAGGTTCCTCAAACTGCTTAACATGGAGCTTCCCTATGACCCAGCATTCCCAGTCCTAGGTATCTACCCAAAAGGCACAGAAACACTGATTCAAAAAGATACCTACACCCCCATGTTTATTGCTGCTTTATTCACAATTGGAAAGACATGGAAACAGCCCAAATGCCCAAAATGGATGACTGGATTAAAAAGATGTGATACATATACATCATGGAATATTACTCACCAACCAAAAAAAAAATGAAACACATATCTTTTGCAGCAACATGGGTGGAACTGGAAAAGATCATGCTTAGTGAAATAAGCCAGAAGGAATATAATGGGATAGGCAAGAAAATAATGATAAACAGCTATATACCAGAGACATTTTGTGGGGGTGGAGTGGGGAATGGGATCAAAAACAGTGGGGGGAGGGAGATGCACTGGACTATGGTGATGGCACAGGGGTGATTTGGTGATGGGAAACCCAAGGGGATTGCAACTGTGATGGAAAAATGCATAAAATGATGTAAAAAAACTATCATAAAAAAATACATATCTATATATTTCTTCATGCATAGAAAGAGTTGGGGTACAGGCCAGAGGTGCAGAGGTGAGAGGATTTGCCAGAGACAGAGTGGGAGAAAAACACACAGATATACTGAAATAAACTGCGGAGGGAGCAATGAACAGGTAAGGAGAGGTCTGCTGCGCCCTGTGGGTCACCTCCCTGGCTGGGGATTGAGCTCATACTCCAGTGGCCTCGGAGAGCTTCATAAGTACTGTGCTTCAACCCCTTGTGCCATGAGGGAGGTCCTGCTTCCTAACATTTCTCAATACCACCAACATGCCACCTACTGCACCACCCTATGCTATGACTATTCATATATTGATTCCCGTAATTTCTAACAGTGAATACTAGAGGATACACACTGGGCAAATCACAATGCTGTGTGTCTTTGGCAACAAGTTGGGGAAAAGCAACAGGGAGTCACTGAGAGGAGAAGAGGCCCTATAGTCTTGGGATCATTTTGATATATTTTCTTTTCTACAAACTTTCTATAAGTATGTGCAATGTACCTTGTAAAACCATATGACTATGTAATGTTCATTTTTTAAAAAGTGAATAGTGTTGCTATAAACATAGTTTGCTTGTATAAACTACAAGCAAAGTGAGCGAGAAGGAAAAAGATCAATAACCGATGGTTTCACTATATGCGGAATCTAGAGAAACCTAGCAAAGGATCAGATATAGACAAACTGTTAAGACTGACCCCTGAAAGCTGACCATCGATCTGAGACACCCAGGAGAGAGGGGAGAGAGTGCAGAGATGGGTGAGGAGAAAAAGGGGCAATGTGGAGAGTGGTGGAGTGGACTCTGGGCACTGGTGGTGGAAAAACTATGGTGACCATACCCAAGGAAAGAAATCCTACATTGTGAAAAAATAACCAAGGATGTTTTAAAAAAAAAATTCAAAATAAAAATTTTGCTTTGTATTCTTTAAAAAAAAAGGTGTGGGGGGAATGCAATTTACTCACAGATACATTTCTCTAGTTAAGTGTGATTGGGAGAAGGGCAAGATTTAAAGGCCTCTGGGAGAGAACAGGGCAGATCTGTTCCACACACACCCTTCTCCACAGGCAGGCAGGGCTCTTTCAGTAAGACAACAAAATATTTGTCCTGAGGCAGGGTTGGCCACAATCCTGCATGTCCCAGAAAGCACAAGGGGCTTCTTTTCTGAGTCCCAGCTTATTACTTTTCAAACACTAAGGGAAATTTTGTTGTAAGTTCCAGAGATGAATTAAAAATATATTCTGTGCCCTCCCTGGTGGTGCAACAGGTTAAAGTACTGTATTATGAAGCTCTCCGAAGCCACTGCCGCATGAGTTTGATCCCATAGCCCTGGAGGTGACCCACACAGTGCGGCAGACCTCTCCTGATCTGCCCGCTGCTCCCCTCAGCAGTGTACGTCATTAGTCAGCCTGTTCTACTCCCCACTCTGTCTCTGGTGAATCCTCTCACCGCCCCTGCACCTCTGGCTTGTACCCCAGTTCTGTATGCACTAATAAATAAATCTTTTTAAAAAAATACTTTTGCTTCAATAGAGATGCTTACCTCAATTTCAAGAAAGACACAAGATCTGTTACATGAAATAAATACAAAGGTGGTACACAGTAACTTTCATCAGTGCAATCCCTGGTGTTCACCTTTCCCATACTTTCTTGAAAAATATCTTTACTATTACTGAGAACATTTTCAGGATTAACTAGTCAAAAGCCAGCAGACCACTGATTTGATGGATTGGTTTTTGCAAACCATAGATTACCTGGTGCAAAATTTCTATGTCGAGTGGAGGTCCAAAGGGCACGTCAGATCCTGAGGGATATGGTTGGTAAGTGTGTGTCTGCGTGTTGGGGGCCCGGATGATGAGCTGCTCCGTGCGGAAGAAAGGCCCAAAGTGGGTGTCAAAGTACTCTTTCTCCAGACGCGCCTGGCTGCTGGGGGCGGACCAAAGGTCGACTGGATTGGTTGTGACCCGGGCAAAAACCAGGCCAGAAGCACAGATGACAATGAAGGCCAGGGAGGAGAAAATGACACCACCTGGGTGTCGGACGCAGAAGGAGCCCCACTGTGCGAAGAACCGCCTCAAGCAGCTCTCGAAGGCTGCACCCAAAGGGTCACAGCAGGCTGCCTCTCCTGGAAGAGCGGGAGAGGAAGGGAGGGTGGAAGTTAAGAGCCAAGCCATTCCTGGAAGTCGGAACAGGAAAAGCATTAGCCCCTGTGAAACTTGGCAGGTCTCATGCTGCACCAGGACATGCACAAGATACCTGGTCCTCAGGTACCTACCTGTGCTGGAAGCCACCCTTCTTGCCTGCCAATAACCATCACCCCCACCCTCCCACTAACTCTCCACCGGGGAGTGATGCTCACACACAAGCCTCTGAAAGGAAAGTTCTCTAAGCACACTCTCCTAGCAATTCCCATCCATTGCTGATAGCTCTCTGCCCCACAGCTCTTTACCCCAGCCTACGCCTTTCTATTGTATATTAACCACTCAATTTCCATCCGTCACCCAGGCTAGACTATGACTGCCACAAGGCAAGGACCCTGTCTGCCCTAGTCACAGCTGTGTCCTCAAAATGAATGCTCTCACACCAATAGACCCTGACTCTTACTTAGGTACAAATGTACTTACCTTTGTCACTGGCATTCACGGAGAAAGCTATGTTGCTATCGATGGGGGTGTACTCAGAAACAAAGTACCGTTTTCTGAAAAATGAAAGCATGTAAGATGTATGAGTGGGCTTCAGGATGAGGCTGCTCTAGCTGTTCCATAGTCTAGTTAAAGCTTACTTCCTCATCCCTTTTCCTTCCTTCCATGTTGTTGTCTTCTTTCTCTAAGTTCTCTGTTCTAGATGCCTCTGCTCACTAGTCTCAGGAGAAATTTTAAGGTATTAAGAAATTAATAAGCTATTATTAAAAAATAAAGATCATTTCACTTTGTACCCCTTTTACATTAAAAGGTTTAGGATCTTTACAAACAATAGTAAATACCATACTACAGTAGTAAGAAGCACATCAAGTGCCTAGATCTTGGTTTTAAAACACCAGTCCTTAAAAAAACAGAGTCCGAAAATCTTGTGATGCCAAAAAATAACAAGCCTGAGAAGGGTAGGGACATGTTAAGAAATAGGTGAGCTAGAAGGTGTTCTCAATGGCCAAAACTGGAAAAATATAAGCAATGAAATAAATGATGGTATTGGAAAAAGCCCATAGAATTTTTCAAATTCTATGATGTACACATAATTGAACAAATAAGAAAGTGGGGAAGGAGGGAAAACTCTGTCCAGAGTAAGTCAATTAGTAAATGTGGAAGGGAAATACAAAAGCCTGCTAGGTAAACATCACAGTGGTAGCTGCTGGCAGGCAAGACCCATGGATGGACGCTAAAATCGGTGAGTGGTATTTTTGAGGAGACACAAAGTATTAGCATAGTTTCAACCTGTCTACCCCAAGATATTTATCAATAACAAAGGAAAATGGTTACTCTACAGTAGGGAAACCAAGCAGATACCATTTTAACCAAGTGATCAGTTAATGTCACCGGGAACTGAGGTCACACTGAGAAAGGTGTATCTTCTGTGAGATTCTTGTCAAAAACACATGAGAAAATATCAGATAAGGTTAAAGTAAGGGATAATTCACAAAATATGTCTAGACTGTGAAAGACTAAAGAATTGTCATAGAGTAGACAATAAAGCCTAATAAAACACCACACACACACACACACAAAAGAATGTCAATGGGATCCTGAAACAGAAAAGGGTCTTAGTGGAAAATGGGTGAAATTTGAACAAAGAAGTTGGTTTAATTACTTCAGTGTTATTTTCAGGGTTGTGAGGGTTATAAACTCTGGGTGATGTCAATTGTTACATCAGAGAAGCTGAGTAAAGCATATATGTATAAACTCTACTACCTATGCAGCTTATTTTAAAATTTTAAAATAAATTTTTAAAAAATGTACTATCGTGATAAGTCAAAGTACAAACATCTAAAAGGACTACAGCACTGCACTGAAATAGAATCAAACTGGGCTAATAAGAGTTTTTGCTGAAGAATGGGTGGTTAATGCACAGTGATTTAAATTAAAACATCATTTCATATAAATCAATAAAACCACTTCGAAAGATGAAATGTCTAAACGGGCCTTGACTGTTGACTACTTACAGGACAGAAGCAGTTCATGGAATGGCATTAATGTAGATGCAGGCATGTGTTGCTTAATGACAAGGGTGTATTCTGAGAAACTGTCTAGATTCTCATAGTGGGCATCTGAGGGTACTCACCCCCGCCCCCCACCGATGGTACAGCCTACTGCACACTGAGGTGAGGTACAGGGACCACTGTAGCACATACAGTCCATTGACCTCAATGTCCTTATAGAGGGCACAACTGTATTTGTTTCCTGTTCAAACTGAGGCCTGCTAAGTGAAAACTGGAAGAGCCACTTGGGTAATTTTGCCCTTCTTGTCCTGGAAAAAAAACAGAACCGCTTACCTGTAGCACCACACAGCAAAAAATGCTCCAAAAAAAATAAGCAAAAATGCCATATAGGTGATCCACATGATGACATACATGGCGTCCAGGCCCAAGATTCTCCAGGGAGTGGGAGTGGGTGGGGGCTGGGGCTTGGGGCCACAGACGGCTGAGCAGTCCTGGCAGCTGCAGGGACCCGTGACCTCATCCGCAGACTCGTTGCAGCCCTTGGTGGCATTATTCATGGGCACCATCCCATGAGTTGGGAGGTCTGCAGAAAGGGTTGCATTCAGTGAATTATCTCCCCCAACTTACACATTTTGTATTACATTATCTTTAAACCCAATAATAAGCACACTACATATATAAAGCAACTGGAAGAGGAAAAAAACAATGCCAGTTTTTTTTTTTAATTAGATGTGTTGCTGCTTAGCCCTGTAATTTTAAGTCACCTTGGTAACTGTGCATAGGTTTTTGCCACTGAGATCTGAGTGGACCATACAGAAGGAGACAGGGAGATAGACAGATAGACAGATAGATAGATAGATAGATAGATAGATAGATA